GGGGGGGGGGGGGGGTGACCACATATATATAAATATATATGAATATGTTTTGCGGTAGAAACCCCATACGTATACAAGAAAGGACGAATGGGTATTTCCAAGATTAGGGGTACCCTTTTGTACCCAAATAGTATAGAGTCCCCTGAGGCGGCCCCCTCAAAAGGGGTACCTTTATTTTCGGAAACCCCCTCAACCCAAACCCTACACCCCAAACCCTAAACCCCAAACCCTAAACCCGAAACCCTAACTAAACCCTAAACCCCCCAAAAAAGGGGGAGGCGGGTCGTAACCACAATAAAGGCCGATTGGTTTTAACCACAACAAGGAATCACTTAACCGGGACTGAATTGAAGCTCAAGCGTGCAAACCCGAAGAATCACTATCATTGTTAAAGAAACCCTTGTCATTGCAAAAACATTTTTTTCATGGTTAGAACTCCTACTCCCTTTCCTGGGTCCCAAAAGGCTTCCCAGTCAAAAAAACACGTGTTCACAGCGTTTTTGGAGGTTTTCGAAGGCAAAACGCGTGTTTCGGATGTTTCTAGGGCTCACAAACCAACCCAGCTGATGCTCCTGATGCGGGTGCGAGCGTGGGCACTGTAGGTTACGCATGCATTCTGCGCCCGACCCTTTGAACACAAAATCGGCACGCCTCCAGTCGGGGGCGGAGGTTGAAGCGAAGTCTCTGAGTGCCAGATGCACCCCGAAGCACCTCATCGCTGCAAGCCAGGACCTGCGGAATGCTGTGGATCCCACAAGCTCGCAGTTTCGTGGCTCCCGCACTACCGATGTCAAGGTTTCGCTTTCCCTTCTTGACATCTTCCAGCTCTCTTTGACAGCCAAGTAAAGAGCATTAAAGAGCTCTAAGGAAAGGTACTGCGTTAGGTATTTGTTGAGGGTTAAATTGTTAAACTGTTAAAGGCCTTCAAAGCAACAGCTCGTCCTTTCGTCCTGGAGAATCAACTTATGTGCTTTGGTGTCCAAATGTAACTACGCAACTTAGCCGCAGTGTAGCCCAAGCTCTGCTGGTGCTTTGCCAGTGTACCAAGCTGAAGGCTGAAGGCGTGCCTGCACTTGTTCCAGTAGCCCCAGCACTGAGAGCTGGCTCAGAACTTCTCGGACCCGGTCCTCCGTTGGGGATTCATTTTAGTGTCACTCGATTTTTGGGTGGGGAGCTTACTCCTATCAGTCCGATCAGACATCCGCAGATGCAGAAGGTATCTGTACATAGAACTCTCCCGAATTTAACCACCTTGCGAAAACGAAAATGGCTCGAAGATCCGATCGCTGTGAGCAGACCCCTGCATCTAGCAAGGCAAGCCTATCCGCAAGAGCAGCTTAGGTTCCGAGGGCAAGCTGTCAACGACATCTGCGAGCTGCAAGACGTCCTTACGATCTGATTTTCCATACGACGGTCGCTTGATTACTAACCACGAGCGAGTGGCCATGCGGGCAGGGAGATGAAAATAGCTCCAGCAGCCTGCTAACCTGCAAAACAGACAACAATCACTGCATCACAGGAGGCTTGCTTCTGAAGTTGACCTATTTGGCCCAGCAGCGCAGTCGACGATGGTCCACCCTGGTTATCGACGCAGCAGAGGGTGCTCACATGAATATCGCCTCACACCATGCAAGGTGTGGATTCCATTCTCCTGAACCTGCTCTCGCATTAACGTAGCTGAGCACGTGACCATTGGCGAGGAACTTGTGGAAGAACTCTCTCGAGCTCTCTGCAGTCTTGATTAAATGCCTTGATCTTGAAAGTCGCATTCTGGCCTTGAACCCATGCCTGCCTTCAAGCCTAAAAGCCTCCGAGCGTCAACCTCTGTTGCATGGCGCGGAATTCCCGAATGGAGGTATTCGCCGGGCAGATTTCTGCCTGACATCGCACTTCTGCTGACCATCTGCCTTCAGTGCTCCGCTTGCAGCATTGCTCGCAGTGTCCGTGCCCGTCTGCCTTCAGCACAATCACGTCTGTGTCAGGACGGACACATCCCATCGCCTGGACAAGCCCAGACTCAATGCTCGTGCATGGCACTGTCTCGGACTTGTTGCCACTTACAATTATAATCACTACAAGTATCGCATTGAGATTATCCTGAACACGTGCATGGCCCTTAGAACAAGCCATGCAGGCTTTATTGCACTCGTGGCTCTCCCTATGTAAGCTCTGCGGCCCGAAGCCCTAAACCTTGGAAGACCAAAACACAAATGAATAGCAAAGAGCTAGCGATTTGGACTCGCAACCCCAAATCGCCTTCTAATCGTTTGTGGAAAGGTGCCCAAATCACAAATAGCACGATTTGGTTTTGAGCCGCGAACGGAAGATCCAAATCGCTGTGTAAGTTGCTTACGTGTTGCTTATATGTGGGCGCTGCGGGATGCGACTGTACGTGATTTGGAAGGCCTCCAAAACAGCACTGCTCCCTCCCTACGCACTGCCGACTGACCGCAGGTTTTGCTTGGTGCTTCGGGGTTCTTCGCGGATCTGGAGGGGGGGGGGGGGGGGGTGTGGTTGCGACCACGTTCCTGTAACCATGCCCACATCAGCGATATTTACAGCATTTTGGCTCCTCTGCACAACGTGCTGCGCCAGGATGTTTGATGTTTCTGGAAAAGGACGCACTGTCCCGAACCTTCTGCGAACATGCCCACAACACTGGAATGTTCAGCGTGTTTGCCTAGAAATATATTGCAAGAGTATGTTTGGTGTTTCCGCAACTAAACGCGCTAACTATGCATGCCTTTTGCGAACATGCCGCAAATACTGCTATTTACAGCGTTTTTGCTTGATTCTGCAACAAACAAGACCGCGGCCGCAACCTACGATGCAGCCGAAAACTCCTACACTTCACTTATTGAGAAAATGCCATTGTATCCGGAAAACCGTGAAGACGTGTTTGCGAACGACCAGCAGACCCGCACACCAAAACGTGGTTTTCGCCTCGCAAAAAACACAGAATACAAACTTTCCACAGTGACAAACTTAAGAAAAAAAGGCCCCCAAACTTGTCCAAGTGCGCGAGGTTAGCCCTTCCCCCAAAACAATCTCAAGCCGAAATCGTGGTTTTCCCTCGGCAAAAACTACCAAAATACCTCAAAAACAACCCCTGTTAACGCACGGGTCGTTTCATGGTGGGTTACCTTGTTTAAGCCTCTGGAAAAAGCCTTGCTGCTACTTACCCAAACCTAGTAAACGAAACCTTGCAGCCCGTGTCCTCTTCAGCCTACACAACCACATTCCAAGTCGCTCACGATTTGGGTAAATCGCTAGCGATTTTCCATGTAATCCCTAAACTGCAGATGCCGACTCTGCATGCCTGCACGCAAAGGTCTTCTGGACGGTAGCCAATGAAAGTGGCAAGAACATCTTGGAACTCTCGGCAAGGTCCTTCCGGGACACAAAGCTCCACATCGCTTAATTGAGCACAACGTTGCAAGTATTTCAAAGAAAATCTGAGTGCCTTTCCTTCTGGACTGGTAGCCAGGACGCCCCGCTGGTCCAACACTTCACACTGGAGATGCATAGCAGCATCTGCCTGCAAATAGCTTCCGGCTTTCAGGGAAACTTTGCGTATGCTTGCCAGGAGCAGCTGTGTCATGCTGACTTGTGCGGGCATCGAGCTCGTTGCAGCGAAGAGTCGTCCAGAGCGTCTTCCTGAGTTTTTTCTCTCCATCTACGCACCTGCAAGCGGAAAAGGGCAGACCAACGTGGAGCGGGTAACCAGCAAACAGTTGTCAAGCTTCTGCCAAAGTCTAATGAAAAGAAGATGCCCGTGCAACCGTACGCATCAGACACTATGCAATCACAGCCGAGATTGCCTCCTCAGCCGCCGGCGCAAACAGATTGGCAGGGTACTTGGCAGGGTAGACGGTCTGACAGAAGTCACGCCAGTAGGTTGGCGTATGGGGCTGGTGTACCTGACCAGGTCGAGTTTAAAACATCTCGCGACACTTGCATATGCATGATTGTTCAAGTTCGGCGTTGAAGGTTGACAGTTCAAGAATCTAGCAGCTCAGGAGACAGAAGGCTGATGGAGCCATGTCTATGCTGTTCCGATGTGGGGGCTGGTCACCGCTTCAAGTCCCTGCGCGGGCTGCTTTGGGAAGGCGTCAGCCTCAACGACCGGACAGTTTGGATGCATTGCAACAAGATTACGACACTTCAGAACGAGCACCCGGGCCTTGCAACTGGTTGCGGACGTATTGCTCGCGCTTGCGTGCCCAAGGACGTCGGAGTTAGTTTGATGACTTCCGCTTCGGACGGCATCATCCTGCCCATGTATAGTTGCGAACCAGGCACAGAAGGATATGATGACTTTCAGTCAGGGCTGCTGGATCACAGCCTCTGACTGCTGGCTAGGTACAACAAAGGGCTGCGTGTCAGCTTCAGATTTCAAAGATGTTTTACATGGACCTGCTCGGGATACTCAAAGACGGCTGCCAGAAAACAAAGCTCATCAAAGCTCCCTACCTCATCGGTGGCAACTTGGACGACTTTTATCTAGCGAAACATTGCCATCTTAGTGGTGACACACCTTAACTAAACCCTAATCCTCAAACCCCAAACCTGCCAGAAACTTGGGCTGCCTCATCATCACACCCACGGTGTAGACGAACAAACATGTGTATCTGGCCTCGCTATGGAAGGTTCCGGCTCGAGTTGGGAGGTTAGCAACGACGACAGCGACAACCACAACAGCAACAGCAGAGATACTCAGCCCGGCGCAGGCACACGGATGAACTGGGGATGTAGTGCTTTCTGAGCCAAGGCGGAACAAAAGGCCCATGGAAGAGCGACCAACATGTACTTCCTCCTATAACGCTGCCTACACACCAAGTACGTGCACTCACATCTTTTGTCGAGCATTTGGACAGACATCAACAGTCCAGGATGTCCCAAAGATCGTTCAGCATGTCTCCTCTGCCGGCGTCCCTTGCAAGAGCCACAAGCTGCCGCTCCGCTTCTGCATAACTTCGTCCAGGATCGTCATCAGCTCGCCACAGGAGCTTCAGGTCATTGATCAAGGTCTTTGGACATGATTTCTGACCAACTAGGACTCTGACCAGCATGGACACCCACTTCTGACGCTGAGGCTTCTCCAGCGCACGCAGAATAAGTTCAAGATGGGCAGAGCACTGCATCACCTGCGTCGAGGCCTCTTCGCTGATTTCGGTGGACTCCTCCAGGAGGTTCTCCATTCGACCGAGCATGGCTTCCGCAATCACTTGCCGCACCCAATGCAGTCCACCCAGCCCATAGTTTCTGACAATATGGTGAGCGGCTTTCCTCACGGATGCACTCACATCCGAGCAGCGCCCAAGCAAGTGTCGAAGGTTTGCTAGGACGATGCGGCGGGCATCACTGTCTGCGAAGTGGGTCCATCTTGCGCTCGCAAGCCGCATGCACCACACCCGGCCTGAGCTTGAAAAAGGAACCGATGCCGTTCCCTAAACAGACCTGCTTTGCGTGGCGCACGCAAACAATCATCAGATCAAGAGGCACTCAAAGTACTTCACCGTCTCGGCATCAGCTTCACGGCCAAGGGCATCGAATGCATCAGGGTGTCGGAGCGCAAGATTCACCAAGTGAGAAAATTCGAGAATCGACTCGGACCTGCAGAGGCCGTGGTGCATGATTCCCATGCACGTCACCATGCAATAGCACGCAGCGGTTGCGCAGAAGATGCCAGGAGTCACCCGGCCTATCCAACCTGCCCATTTCCTCCAGGTGATGAGTCAAGACCTTAGGCGGCAGAAATGCGCAGCATCTCACGACTTTGCACATTGTGTTGGGCAGGGCAACTGCACAAAGCTTCCTGCCCTAGGGCTCGCGGTCTGCCGGGATGTTAAGCGCCACTGCAGTATGTTTTCCACCTTGGGGCACATGCAGGCACTTCTTCCTGATGGGGAAACTCCGTAGAGGAACATCATTGCGCGCTGCAACTTGAGGCGAGGCACGGTAAGGTACTGCAACAGACTGGGCAATTCGAAAGTTGGAATACAGGCTTTCACAGACCTGGGCTGCACACATCCTCTCTCTGGCCAAGAGACTTAAAGCGACACGTCAGCTGCCCACCGGCTACAGCATCTACAGCTTGCGCAGCCCGCTCAAGCGTCTGCGACCATCCCTCCCACTTGAGTCCACAAGCGATGCTCGCTGACTCCTCACGCGAACATACGCGAACGCACCGTGCGGCCCGAGGGGCATCTCAACCGGACTCGACGCTCCCTCGCGAACTTCGCCCATGTCCGCCCGGAGCGCTCCAGGCAGATCTTCCTTTCAATGGGGGAGCTCAACACGGCTGTGCTCCATGCTCACCTCGATCTACGGCGAGTCTATGGCTGATGTAGGGGGCACACTTCGCGAGCAGGTTCGTTGTGAGGGGCAGACTCTGGAAGCTCCTGCGGGTGAACCGCTGAGGTGCTCAAATTGGCTATTGTTCGGTGTGACAGGTGTGACACTCTGCTTTCCTCCTTCCAAGAGACGTCGCTGTCGCAAGTGCTCTGAGAAGGCGAAGACGCACCGCTTCCCTCTTGACTGTGCCTTGACACACAAAAGGATCCGATGTTTTGCCCTGAGGCTGTTGAAGGCGCCCCGCGGCAAACTTGCGCACTGGATTGTCTGCACACTTCCTGACCTCCCTGCTGCACCAGAACCACTGCTACATCTTCAATGCCTCTTTAAACTCTTTTCACTTGAGACCACAATGCCAAGAAGACATGGTGCCAGGATGACTGGAATCGCTGCCACAGCGGCATTTCGCGGGCAGGGCTGCCAGCTGCTGTCACACACAGGTCACCAAGGTCGGCCACCTTCTCCTCTGACCTTACCAGAAAGCGGCCAGGGGTTTTTTTGGTGTTTGGAGAGCGCGGTGCCTGGGCTTGCCACTGCTGTACACCCAAACGCCTCTCTCTGTAAACTTGGGCATCGGGCGACACATTCACTAACGAGATTCCACGGACAAGCCCTGAAGACTCTGCGCAAGACTCCGCACACTCATTCTGCACACCCATTCTGTACACTCAGAGGTATCGGTAGAAAAGCTGGGTCACATTGGATCACCATATGAGGCAAGTCACTGTATGAACTCAGTCATCAAGCACTCCTTGGCCTCGAACAACTCGTCATCACGCCGGCAAAGCCTCGGCTTTCGCTCTGTCGCGCAGCGGAGTGCTATGGAGCCGTGGTTTTGTCGTTGTGGCTAAACTTTGGCTCAAGAAAGCAAAACATCATGGGAATCAAAGGACATGAAAGGACATCACGAGACTGCAGAGCAATGCTTCACACGTCTTCACACCCAAGGGGCCGCTGCTCCAGCACGTGCTTCTCAGCACGGAGGGCTTCGACCAGCAGCGTCAGCTCGTTGTTTTCGGCCTCGACTTGCTGCAGCCACTGCTGATGCTCCAGGTGCTTCTGGCACGCGCCCTCATACCTGAGGCTGACATCGACGCTACTACCGCTGCTACTTGCACGTGCCACGCACCCCCCCCCCCCCCCTACCCCTCTGTGACTCCCGTCACCCGCCACGTGTGGGAGATTTCACGGAAAAAAGCCCTGAAGACTCTGCACAAGACTCTGCTGCACACTCATTCTGCACACTCATAGTTATCGATAGAAGATATGAAGTTGGCAAATGTTGGCGAGTCACTGTATGAACTCAGTCATCAAGCACTCCTTGGCCTCGAACAACTCGTCATCACGCCGGCAAAGCCTCGGCTTTCGCTCTGTCGCGCAGCGGAGTGCTATGGAGCCGTGGTTTTGTCGTTGTGGCTAAACTTTGGCTCAAGAAAGCTGCCAAACATCATGGGAATCAAAGGACATGAAAGGACATCACGAGACTGCAGAGCAATGCTTCACACGTCTTCACACCCAAGGGGCCGCTGCTCCAGCACGTGCTTCTCAGCACGGAGGGCTTCGACCAGCAGCGTCAGCTCGTTGTTTTCGGCCTCGACTTGCTGCAGCCACTGCTGATGCTCCAGGTGCTTCTGGCACGCGCCCTCATACCTGAGGCTGACATCGACGCTACTACCGCTGCTACTTGCACGTGCCACGCACCCCCCCCCCCCCCCCCCCCCCCCCCCCCCCCCCCCCCCCCCTACCCCTCTGTGACTCCCGTCACCCGCCACGTGTGGGAGATTTCACGGAAAAAAGCCCTGAAGACTCTGCACAAGACTCTGCTGCACACTCATTCTGCACACTCATAGTTATCGATAGAAGATATGAAGTTGGCAAATGTTGGCGAGTCACTGTATGAACTCAGTCATCAAGCACTCCTTGGCCTCGAACAACTCGTCATCACGCCGGCAAAGCCTCGGCTTTCGTTCTGTCGCTCAGCGGAGTGCTATGGGGCCGTGGTTTTGTGGTTGCGGCGAAACTTTGAGCTCCCAAAAATCATGGGAATCAAAGGACATGAAAGGACATCACGAGGCTGCAGAGGAATGCTTCACACGTCTTCACACCCAAGGGGCTGCTGCTCCAGCACGCGCTTCTCAGCACGGATGGCTGCAACCAGCAGCGTCAACTCGTTGTTTTGGGCCTCGACTTGCTGCAGCCATTGCTGCTGCTCCAGGTGCTTCTGGCACGCGCCCTCATACCTGAGGCTGACATCGACGCTACTGCCGCTACTACTTGCACGTGCCCCCCCCCTTACCCGTACTGTACAATCTCAACACCAGCAACGTGTGGGATGTCGTCGCCACTTGTGACGAGGCTTCGCCAGGAGAACAAAGTGTAACGGCAGAACAGAAGAGAAAAGAGATCCCAAAGTCCGTGTGTGGCTATTCTGGTCGTCTCTGCTGTCTCTGCTGGTTGACGTCAGAGCTCACACTTGGCTTCCTAACTATTCAAAGATGCAACGGTCTAATTCCCCGGGGGCCTGCTGCAGCAACGCAGAAATGCAAGAACGTCTGCGTTTGTCTTCCTTTTAATTTATGCCGAGGCGCGCAAGCGATAGCCACCACAGCTGCCACTCCACCTGCGAGCACCTCGGATGGGAAAGTTAGCACACGTCTGGCACACGTCCTGACGCCCTGCCCATGTTTCGCAGCAATTCCCTACCGCGCTGCAGGCGGCGATTCAACTATGGAAGCGCCCTCAAGACTCACGGATAGCCGTCCAATCTCGTCCATGTCGGTGCGAGCCGCCATTGGCCGAGTGACTGGCGCGCATTGGCACCAGGCGCCAAGCTGGGGGGAGCGAAGGTGTGCCTCGGCATCTTGCGCGCTTGGTGACGTGGGCGTACAGTGAAACCACTGTATAAGAAACCACTGAAAAAGAAACTAAGCCCCTAGATCCAGGTCTTTGCGGGTGCTTGTTAACTAAGAAACCTAGGGTACCCTAGTGTCGGGGGACCACTTTCTGAAAATTCTGCCTCCCCTGACGAGTCAGGGTTTTGGAGGTTTCAGGCTTGAAGCCCTCAAAAACCTGACTCCCCGGCAAAAGGCTCCACCCCCGCCTCCCCTTACTGGGACCCGACCGAGTGCGGGAGAGTCAGGCGCAGTGTGACTCAGTGACTCGAGCCGGGCCCAGCTCATGCGAAACATATACCCTTCCAGGTCCTCTAAAACCCTGCTACACGTACCTCCAATGCCCAAGCCGACTGCGGCCGTGTCAGAACGAACACCGGCGCCAGAGATGTATGCAACCAGGCTGCGTGCTCAGCATCTCGTGGCTGCACTGCGAAAGATTGCTGCAAGGCGTGGCGTCATCCTCCACTGCATGGACCCGCAGCTTTCCCGGCTTGGCCATACCATGCCACACGACTACGTGCGTGGATAGACGTGGATCATGGATCATATGGATCTTGGGTGTTGCAATTCAGGGGCCTTTCCAATCACGGACGTGAACCCTGCCTCGGAACGCGGCGATGGCACTTCCGCACCGGCCGTGTCCGCAGTGCTGACGCCGCTCTGGCCACTGAGCCGACTTCGCACTTCGAGCCGCGAGTTGGGAGACCTCGAGGCGAAGCTGTCGAAGCGATGCATGTTCAGCTGGCGGCTACCGCATGAGACTTGTCACACAGCGCCCGAGCCATCCCCTCCTCCCAATTGAACACCCGTCGTAGAAGATAGTGATACAGCACCGAATGTACCGAGACCAAACAGCAGCGAGCCTGCCCTTAGCGCTTTCGGGCCGAGCTGCTTCTCGCACTCGTCATCAAAGGTCCAAGCGCCATCTGATGGGCATTTTGACCTTAATTACAAAGCACGGGACGGCAAGTGATGCAACATGGCAACGATCGCAAAAGTAAACTTTACCTGCTGCCTCCAATGCCCATGCCGACTGCGGCCGTGTCCGAACGACCAACGGCGCCAGAGATGCATGTGCTACCAAGCTGCGTGCTCATCATCTCCTGGCTGCACTGCGACAGATTGCTGCAAGGCGTGGCGCCATCTTCCACCTGCATGGACCCGCACGCGTTCGGAGACCTCAAGGCGAAGCTGGCGAAGCGATGCATGGCAGGTTCCGCCACAGCATGAGACTTGTCGCACAGGCACAGACACAGCGCCTCCCGGAAAGCCCGACCCATCCCGCCCGTCCAATTGAACAACCAGTCGGAGAAGATAGTGAGACAGTACCGAATGTACCAAGACCAAAACAGCAGCGAGCCCGCCCTTAGCACTTTCGGCCCGAGCTGCTTCTCGCACGCGTCACCAGGCGATTTTGACCTGAAAAAGCACGGGACGCCAAGCGATGCAACACGGCAGTGGACAGACGACTGAGTGATTTTGGGCAGGCCGCCTTGGTGTGGTCAGCTCTTCCAGAGGCGTATCAAAGATAGACCTCGCACGTCTGTCATCGGCAGCTCGACTCAGCAGAGGGGCATCACCACACCACCGGGCTGTTGCCACACGGAGGACATATCAGTGCTAGCCAGAGCGCGTGCAGGAAGATTTCAACACCGGAAAAGATGGAAAAGAGGTAGAAGTATCTTTGGAGGATGCGGTCAAGGCACGGTACATGGTTGTCCAGAGCCACGACGCCCCCCATGGCCGAGGCAGAAAGGCCGCAACGCGACAGTCCAATCGAACAAATACACCCGGCGTGCTTTGTTGCAATGTTGTAACGATCAGATGCGATCAGCATACCTTCACGTTGCCTGCAAATAACACATGTACAGTCGTGAGTCATGAGCTTCTTATACATCTGATAAGAATATACAGTACAGTATCTGTGAAGAGTCGATGATTCGACGACTTCAAGCTCGGTAGAAAGGTTGCAAGCGATGCAACAACATGCAACAACGATGCAGACGATACTTAGCACGACAAGGCCACTGCAATCACGACTCATCCCGTAGACTCGATGCCTAAACCTGTGCCCAAGGGCTGATACCCGTCACCACGATACCGTTTTCGGTCAGAGGTGCACCTGCTCGTTCCACAACACACAGGTTTTTTTCGACGGGACGCGCAGCACGCCGCAACACGCAGCTCCAGCGATCATCTTCTTTGGATCCCGGAGTGCTCAGAGCAGGCAGAGCAAGCTCTCCAAGGACAGCTGCCGTCCTGGAAACACAAGGCTAAATCATCATTTCTCAAGCGAGAACAGGTTGGCAACATCGTTGGATGGCAGCTGAACGCAGGTTGACTGAACAAAAGCAAGCAGCTGAAAATCTAGCGTCTCAAGCCATGTCACGCAGACCTGCAACTATGCACTCGAAGCTAACATGAACCGCTCTCAAGCAATAAGCCCCGACCCATTTGCCAGTTCAGCCCTCGATTTGGATCGTCGTCATACCGAAGCTCCTCTTTGTGGCCAGCCACTGCAAAGTCTCAGCCCCACTCTGCCCCCCTTGGCCTGCAGTAGCAGCACTGTCAGCACTGTCTCTCTGGCAGTGCGTGCCAGAAGCCACACTCTTCCATTTTGGCCCACGCAGAGCTCAGGAGAAGTCCTGAATGCACCAGACCCTACGCCAGGCAACAACCTGAGTAGCCTTAGCAAGGTCCTTGCCAAGCCGATCAAGGATGAAGCAGTCGATAGCTGCCACCACGTAGATTTGTGCACTCACGCACTCCACGCCACCTCCCACCAAGCTCTCAGTTCACGAAGCACTGCAACCTCACTTGCAGGTCTGACCTGGAAGACGCTGCGCTGCAGTCAGAGCCGCCTGCAAGAAGCGCCGCGCACAGCATAGAAACTCCGCCCATGACCCTATAATCTTCACCTGTGTCCCAGCCTACAACTGCTTTACATGGCACGCAGCATGCAAACCCCTACATATAGAACAGGTGGGAATACATGATCTCTTCCCTCTGGTATCAAACCCCCAAATACAAACAGAGCCTCTGCCCCTTCCGGCCTGAAAGGGTTTTAACAGTACATACGAGAATCCCTGCAGGCTACACGTGTAATTGCCAATTGCAGCCCGGCATATATGGGTTTGCATTTTGGGGGCGTTGGCTGCTTGCATTCTTGTTGCCTATGGCTGGGACTGGCGGGACATGGTGGTAGTGGCGGGTAGTGGTGAGAATGGTGATGGTGGGTGATGGGTAACGGGTGGGGTTGGTGGGTAATGGGCCATGGTGGGAATGGTGGGAGGTGGTAGGGAATGGCTGGTACTGGCGGGAAAGGTAGGAATGTCGAGTAGAAGGGGAATGATGGCGAATGATGGGGCATGATGGGGAATGATGGGGAATGTCGGAATGACAGGGAATGATGGGGAATAATGGGTCATGGCCAGACTGACGGCAATAATGGTGGGACGTGGCCGGGAGGGGGGAGCCCGAGGCGGAGCGCGCTAGCGATAATGGGAACTCGTTGACACACTTTGCTGCAGCAAGCTCAGATCCTGGACGCGACAGTTCACAAAGACAAAGCTGCAATGGTTGCTGGGCACGCTGCCTTAACTCTTCCTCCGCCACCTCAGGGCGTCAGTTTGCGTCTTTGTGGCTGAGAGGTTTCCGGCGCTTTCTATCACAAAGGGATGCAACATGTGGTGTCCGGATCACTCGCACGTGTCTTTCAATATTCTAGATGGCAGCGGCCAACCACGCCCACCCCCCACCCCCCACCCCACCGAAGAAACAAAATGACAAGACAGGGTTGAAGTTTGAGAGGTTGCGTTTAGGCGAGGCAAACTACTACGGCAGGTTGTGGTGTCAGGCTAAAGTATACATTGCGTCGAATAGAACACACGTATTCAACTTGACAATTTGGGAGTTAGGACGAGCTTGGCCTGGTTAAGCTAGGTTCATTTCATTGTGCCGGATGATTGCCAAGCCTAAGCCAAAAGGCCAAAGCCTGCCAAACTCTCCACGCTCAAGCATATGCATGCGCTCTGTGTTACACGGTCAGTTCTCTGAGAGTTGGTAGTTTTTGTTGGGATATCCTCCTGTACATACTATGTGTCGTGCCAGAAGAGCGACCCAGCAAAAGGGCCAGCTGACCATACTGGCGGTAGATGTAAAAGAGCTCGCAGCGGCACAACCACGAGAAAAAGCTGTGTGTTGCGCGCTAAGGCCAGGTCCTTGACCTCCACAGCCTCCGGCAAGACCGATCCTTGGTGGATCATGCGGGTCACCGATCCTCAATCATGTGATGAGTTCGGAGCGGCAAGTTCCCCGCGAAGATCGCCCGACGATGCATCATCACCCAGCAGTCACAGACTTCGGTAGCAACATGTAGCAACTTTATTTAATTAAGGCTCACGAGGCAGCTCATGAAGTTGCCTCCTCAAGTTCGGTGAGCATCCACTCCGTGTAGGCCTGGCCATATGAACACTGGGCCCGTACAAGCCTGCATGGGCCCGTTGCGAAGTCACTGAAGTCCGAGAAGTGCTGTCAAATCCGTAGCGAAACTGTAACGACTGGGCAACTCTGTAGCGACTGGAGCCTGAGGGAAGATGCTGGCCAGCTGGCGCTTTGCAGCTGGGAACAGCTCGTGGAAAGAATTCACGCTGCTGCAAAGCCAGTTGCTTCGAGGTTGCGTAAAGAGGAGCCCCAAACAAAACCCCATCACCAAGCAATGGCCCGCCTTGGCCTCCAGCATGCCGCCCCTTGCTTTGGGCTTTTGGAGACAGCAAATCTCGTGCCACGGCGTGTCACATCACGCCCTACCTTTCCCTACATGTCGCTACGCAATGCTACGCACTTCCTTCTACAAGATCACTCAAGCTGTCCAGCCTGAGTCTTCGGTTGCCAGCTGAAGCTCCAGGACACAAAGCCTCACACAGGTGGAACATGGTGGAACGCAAATCAACTTTGTGATGAGGAACTTTTGAAGGCCCCTCACTCAATCCTTTTCGACGTTGCGCTCCTTGGCCTGAATACCCAAAGAGATTGCTGCCTATTCGAGACACTGACGGGCCAGTGACGGAGTATGATGGCATCCAGGCGCTGACGTTTTGCAGGCATTGGCGCAGCTTGCTGATGTTGGTGCCATCTGCGGCCGCGCCTCGAAGAGGGCAAAAAAACACAAAGTCGGATTTCTGCAGACTCGAGCTTTCCCAATCGACTTCTCCATCACACGAAGCGACACAATTGGCATGTCGATCAATTACTTCTCGGCGGATCCACATTGGGGATCAATGTTTGGCCTGGATCTTGGGGGTCTTGGGGCTTTAGGTTCCCTCTTCAGTTCGGAGCGGGTTGGAGTCTGAATATTTTTTGTTTGGTAGGGGGAGGGCAGGGGTTCTGTGGTTGCTATTGGATTTGCGTTTCAGGGCTATTGCTGTCACTGATGGCCACCGCGTCGGTCCCCTGAAGTCAGAGGTTTAGACTAAAACATTGACGTCGCAACAGTGTCGTTTGACATAGCAAAATCGCCAGCAAATCAACAACGAGACGCAACAAATTTTAAAGATAACAAACAAGATACATGCAAATCAACAACTAAAAAGCCACAAATTCAAAGATAATTATGCCAGCGAAGACCCCAAACAGTAAGACTGTGGAGAAAGAGAAAATTTGACAGGCGTTTAGGGTTACCCTAAACTTCAGTGTCGGCCCCTTAACAGAGAGTTTGCCGCTCCCGGCCCTCACCGCCCTGCCCCGACCCGCCTTCTATCCTACCTACCTTACCACCCCACCGCTTCCACCCCTCCACCCTATCTCCCGCCGCTTACCCTCCCTGCCTTAACACTCCCTAGCTGCCACCGCCCTTCCCTGACTGCCCTGACCCAACCCTACCCCGCCTAACGAAGTAGATCAAGGGCTCCAGTGCAGTCGCAGCCTTGCACCATCCTCACCGCCCTTGCTGCCCTGACTGCCCTGACCCCCCGCGTTTTGTTCTTGAAGTAGATTCAAGGCGGCACCCTCACGAGCCTTGCCATCCTGTGCCAAGCCCTGACCCCCTGCCCCCTACCCTGCCTGACCCCACCCCCGCAACCTTACCCCTTCCACCCTGCCCTCACCCCCACCCCCAGACCCCACATCTTTGGTGGGCAGGCCCGGCGTGACTCAACTTGTTTCCGGCCCACATGTTCCGCAGAAATCTTTACAAGGGGAAACAATCAAGTCCAAATTCAGGGTTGCCTTTCTTGCAGAAGCAACGCATCTGAAAACAAGGCTGCCTTGTTACGCTAGCTGCGCATCTGTTCTTGACACTGCACCCCCATACGTGGACGGCCAGGTCAAGTTCACATGGAGCCCAGGCGAAGATGCCGACAGAACGACTTATTGAACCCCCACCTGGGGCCGTCTGCCGAAGACATGGAGAAAAACAAGCTGAGGGAACTGCATGTACACCCTGTCTTCGACAAAAATGGTCAAAAACAGTTTCCCCTCCCCTCGGAACGCCAGAAGAAACGCTTCCTGGCAAAAGGACCCGCCTGCCGAAGATGTGGAAAAAAATGGCCACCATTTCCCCCTGCAGTGCCCCGCCAAAAAGCTGTAAGACAACTGCAGGCCAGGCCTGCCTGCCCACCGAAGACGTGGGGAAAAAAACAGTTTCGGTCAATAAAATGGGCCACCAAACCGAACCAAAAAAAATCCACCAAAGAGCAGCGCAAGCACAACCTTAAGGACAGGAAGTGCACCCAATAGCGTTAC